TTACCTTTTGTAGATCACCTCTAGGCTTATTTGTAGATCACTTCTAGGCTAAGAGGTTAGTTGACAAGAGGTTGCCAACTTGTTTTGCATTGCCTAATTTTTCCCCTCCCTTTTTTCCCCAAGGTCCCCATAAACCTTTTGAAGAGCGAAAAGACCTTGTCCTCGCAACCACAGACTGCGCCACCCCCAGCCTCCAGTGCTGTTCCAGGTGGGAGCCCCCACCTCCTGATGTCCACTGGAAACCAGTGTGTTTGCATGAGGGGGGGAGTGGAGGTCTCTTCATTTGCCATCACCTTTATATTCTCATTAGTTTTTTCTTTTACTGTCCCTGTCTTTATTGCCCGCCATTTGTCGGCAGCTACATTCCCCTTGTCCCTGGACATTTCTGCTCAACACCCACCAGGATCCGCAGCCTCTATGCTCCTCTTCCTCTTCTTCCAACAGTTGGTGATGTTCATTTGATTTTTTCCCCCCTCTCCAGTGAGCATTTTTTTTCCTGTGCGTTTTGCAGCTAAAATCTTTACTTCTGTGTTTTGAGAGAGCTGTCTCCTTTTTGTTGATTTAGACATAAAAGGTTTTTAAACAAACCACACAAATGGGTGGGTGGGAAGTAGAGGGATATGTGATCTAATCTGTTCGATTTAGTGTTTCTCAGACCCGCCCTGCCCCCGCTGGAAATGGTGGAGGGTTGTAATAAAAAGTTGGAATGCATGTTACCAACCCAGAATCAGATGGAAGGCAGTGCTATTTAGTAGCTCCTTCCTCTGTTCCCCACTGTTTCTATCAAGCTTTTCTGAAGAAAAGCAGGCAGCTTCTTTCAGTAGCCTGCAACAGTGGAGTTGATTCTTGGTGGTGGCAAAATTGAGGGTTAAACTATTCCTGCTCCTCCCTCCCCAGAACAAAATACATTTAATATGCAGTGCTCTTTTTCCTTTTTATTCCTCCCTCAAAGGAGACTTTCATATTGATCAGCTGAGCCAGGTCATGAGGGGTTAAGTTTGGAACTGGAACAGGGGCATTCAGGCATTTTAGGGGGAAGGTGACTGAAATTTTGCTGAGAAGAAGCTGAGAAACCCTAAATCAGGGAGGGTGGGAACAGAAGTTTCTTCATATTTCTTAAAAGCATTTAATTTTTTTTGATATGTACAGCAAGGAGATTTTTTCTGTCAAATAAACTTATGAAATGCAAAATCTGTTGCTGAGTCAGAATTTTCTCTGGTCGACTGAGATCTTCAATTAAATATGTAGGCTTTTCAACATTACTTTCAAGGATGAACGAATGACTAGAATAAAAGTACTTAAGTCCCATCTATTTAGAACACATGCATGCACATATTTCTCTATTCAATCTGCTGAAGATTGTTAACTAACACAAAACAAAGGTAAAGATTTCCCATCTAGATGTGTCCAACTCCAGGGGGCAGTGCTCATCTCTGTTCCTTAGCTGAGGGAGCCAATGTTGCCCGAAGACATTTGCATGGTCATGTGTCCAGCATGATTATATGCCAAAGCACACGGAACGCTGTTAACTTCACAACGAAGTACCTATTTATCTACCCATATTGCATGCTTTTGAACTGCTAGGTGGGCAGGAGCTGCGGCAAATAATGGGCGCTCACCCCATCATGTGTCACTCAGGTCTTGAATCTGGGCTGTCAGCTTTTCACCTGACAAGCTCAGCATCATTAATCGTTGAGCCACTATGTTTAAATTAAACCCCAAACTACCTTAGTAACCCAAAAGCTCTTAAACCTAAACTTTTGAGTTCATTTTGCTTGGGTAGAGTTAATAATAATGTCCAAATCACTTCTCTTTCAAATAGAAAAAAGCTTTCAAGCAGACTGCAGTATACCTTATTTGTACTTATGGTATGTGATTAGATGTGCATAGAGAAATGTATTTTTCTTTTAAAAAATCACTGATCTTTACATTACACCCAGGAGAGCAAATTCAGTTTTGAAGAAACATGGCTGAACAAAGCAAGATTCTCTCTTCCATCCAAAAATAAAAGGAATAAAGGAATGGCTGTAATGCCTCTAGCTTTTAAAGATTCCCAATATTTTGTCTGTTCTCTGTTCTCCCCCACTTTAAACACAACTTCCTGACCGTTGTGTTTATCTTTCTTGCAGCTGTCTGCTGTTAGCTTTTGGTTACTTGTCTACATAGGGCTCTGTGTTAAAGCCATCCTGCTTTGCCTTTTGCCCATTTCAGTCCCCTAACTGAAGTATGAGTAAATATTTTAGGATTTTTCTGTGAGTTATTGTTTGGGATGGGGAAGAGAGGAAGAAACCTAGGTATTAATTGATCTTACTCATCATGTCTATTAATACACGTTAAAGCCTACTTTTGCTAATATTGTTTGTTTTTGCTCTTGCTTGACAAAGGAAGATGCATCCCATGTCAGAATAGTATACAGATGGCAAACCTCCTTTTTTTATTCTCTTCCCCTCATGTCACATCACAAACTGATAACTAAACTCTTGCCATGGAATTTCACATTTTATTGTTTGGGATGGGATGCCCCAGCCGAAAGTCATCTTAGCTTCATGGAGCTAATTGTGTAATTACTAAGGAAAAATTACACCGCAACATAGAAATTGCATATTTTGACTGATTGTTGTCATTCTATGCCCCACCTTTTTTCTCTGTGCCATTCCGTTTCTGTTGCTAGCCTGTAACATATGTTACAGGTGTTGGTGGAATTCAAAAGGCTGTTTCTCAGCATGAAAAATAAATCATCCTGAAATTATGTGGAATTATATGACCCCCAAGAAATAAAACAGCAGTTCCCTGTCTGTCATGAGCAATTACTGGCACTGCAACTTTAGAAAACATATAATGTGTTAATATATTTAGACAAATATTACTTTATTGGATAAATGCAATAAATTAATTGCATTTTTATAGATGTTTCCTGTTCAGTAAAATTATTGAAACACATGGACCCATTTTGAATAGCCTGGAACTGATCATTGTTTTGTCCTTGAGGCTGGCATGGACAATAAATGGCAACAGGTGTGATGTGGCATTAAATATTGAAGGGGAAAAGCTCAATTTGGAGAGCTTCAGAGACGGCATTGGTAGGGTTGTCCTGTCACAGCCAATCATTTTTTTGGGTGGGTGTTAAAAGTAAGAATAGGAATGAGAGATAGCTGTGGAACAAATGCCATTTGTACTCTTAACCCTGTAAAAAGCATTTAGTTATGGCTTATTTAGGCCTGATTTAAGGACTTTAAAGCAAACCACTCTTGATTCCCATTTGTAAACTCTGAAGAGGAAAACTGATCTGGAAAGCATAGTTTGTGTGAAAGTGTAATGGTTAAGGATAGCAATTTGAATAGGAGCCACTTAAAAGCTTCTTGTTCCATTTCCAACCCTTTATTTTAAATAAAAAAATTAAAGTTACATCACTAAAATGTAGCCATTTTGTAGCTATACTTTGGTGGAGGAGGGGACCATATACAGCCTATGGACTACCTATGTCTGCTGTTTGTTTTTCCTCCTGGCCACCTTGGCATGCATAGATGGGGATTTTAAGCCTCTTTCTAAATGCTGAGGTCCTGTACCTTCAATCCTGGTAGGAAACTCATTTTGGTTTTAGGGAATAAGATGACATCTCATGTTCTGAGAGCTCCCGAGAATCCAGTCTCTTGTGTGCCTTTCCTTACCATAGTTGTAACAATTCTTTGAAATACACAATATGATGACAAATAGTAATTAAGACACCACAACCAGCTTGGTAATCCTGAGAAAGTTCTTGAATCTTCATTTCAGTATACTTTAATTCTTGAGAAAGATACATATCTGGAAATGATGCACAGGAATTTCAGGTAAACTGAATTCCACTTTAATCTTCCCATGTGGCATGCAGACTTTAAAACAGATAAAGGTTTGGATGTATAAAAATAAATCAGGGCTGTAAATGTGGTAAAATGTACTTCCCCTTTTCATGTTATAAAAATAAAACAACTCTGTACTTACCCTTTTTTCCACATTTTTAATAGTAAGTGCGGCGGGCAGTGTTTTAAATGAACAGTTTTTGCACACAAGTTTCTGCTCTCTGACATTGTGTTATTTATACTTGCATGCATTCATATAGCTGGATGTAAAAAGGTTGTGTGTGTGTGTGTGTGTGCATGTACCTTTGATGCCTTATGATTGCTTAGACAAATCCCTGCAATTTTCTTACCAACATTTTTAGAAAGTAGTCTGCTATTGTTTTCTTCTGAAGGTTGAGAGAGACTGAAAGGCCCAAGGTTATCCACTTAGCTTTGTGCCTAAGCCAGTACTGCAGCAGATGATCTGGTTTCTAGCTTACTGCCTTTAACCCTTAGGTTTGCTTTAAATAACAATATTTGATTGATTAGATAAAATTTTAATTAATTAATTAGAAGCCGAGTAAGAAGCTAAATGTTGATCCATTAAAATCTCTGAGGTTTTTGTAAACAAGGTGCAATTTAGGTTAATAGGTTATTTAATATTTTTTTTCTCCAATGGAACCTAATGCAACTAAATTTCTTTGTATCTAACTAGCAAACTGGTTGAGAACACAACAGAACTGAGGTTTAAGTTTTAAAACGCCTGTGTTTGTTAAGCCCTTAGCTTTTCCAACCTTTGTGAATAAATTCAATGTATATTTGTGTTAATATTTTATTTATTTTCATTACACTAATGGACATGAAATATTTTAGTATTAGGAAGCTCCTTCCACATACACAGTTACTAGCTTATCCTGTCATCGTCATCTTTCTTCACACTTCAGCCAACCTCTTCTCTAAATAGCAAAATTAATGTAGGTTTGGAGAGAACTATATAATGAGTTTCTAAATATAACCAGCAGAAGAAATAAACTTAATGAGTTTTGAATTTGGCTTTGCTCAACTAAAAATATTTTTGTTTGACTCTTCAAAAACGTGAAATGTAACTGAGGAGAGAATATGACTCATGGAAGAAGGAGGAAATAGCAAAATTGCATGAAGAAAAAATACAAGCCAAATAACCACTTTGTTAACTTTTCTCCTTTATTTTATTTAAATGCAGAAACATGCAAAATGGTCCTAAATGAAACTTGGGGAATTTTGAGTCCAAATGCTGGGAAAGAGGGATGAATATAATGGCAGTACATCAAAGGGACTCTGTACCTAAATAAAATATTGTGCAATACAATCTGTGGACAAACTGACAATACTTACACGTTATTCTGCTGCTTCTGTTTTCCATTCTTGATTGTGTTGTCCCTTGTTGCCTCCGTTGCTCACAGTACACTCATCCATAAAGTAGGAAACACTACACTTGGACACAAGCGTTTAGTAGTGCTTTCTACTTTATGGATGAGTCCACTGTCCATAAAATGTAGCTTTGATCTGTGATTGTCATCTTCATCCAGAACCACCTTCTGAGTTGTCCACCTAAGTCTCCCCTACCCCACCCGCTGACAGCTCCCTGGGGGCTGATAAAACAGGGAGATGCTAGCAGGAGGAGAGGTTTGACGGTCTGTTTTGTGGGCTAAGAGTGAGACAGCATTTTTAATATTAAAAGTATTCTTGCTGCCCAGATACATTCACAGCCTACATAAGATTCCTACTGCTTCTAACAAGATAGGGTGAAATGGCGAATAAATTAAATCTGGATTGGTTCACCGCTTTACTAGATACACACGGCAAAATTGTGTAGAAGATAAGCCATTCTTGAGAATGGGTTAATCCCCCCCCTTTCCTTCTATCTGAACATCTACCTACCCCTCCTCCCACCGCCCCAGTTGTAGAAAGATTAAGTAACTTGTGAATTAGATTATAAGTAAAAACATTTAGATAAAGAAAAGCCGGGGCTGGGCATTCTATTTTTTTAGATGGCCATTTCATATAACTCCTTTGAACCTGTTCACGGGGCAAAGTCCTGAGAATATATGAATATGTGCACACCCTGCACTTTTTAGTAGTGTGTGTACCAAGACCAACATAGAATGATCATTTTGCATCCCAAATTATTTTTATGCATCTCTTCCTCTCTTAACTTGGTTCTTGCTGTGCAGTCCTGATTTCTGGAACGCCTTCCCCAAATGTCTTTGTGTGCAGTGGGCGGGGGAGTGGGGAGGAGAAAATTTACCAGTTGTTTCTTTTGCCCTTAAAAGGTATATTTTGGGTGAATGTGCTAAACCAAAACCAAATTGTGTGAACTAAATTCATCTTTCTTTTTCCATTCCCACTTCCTCATCCTCTTTTTAAGTGCTAATCATATTGGTTTTTATATAGGGATTTCACTAATAATGGCAGATTTTTTTTAAAAAAAACCAGATCTGTCTCTTGAGGTCTTCATGTAACAGAGCTATGGACATTGGTAACAGTAACAGAGTTGGAAGGGACCTTGGAGGTCATCTAGTCCAAACCCTTGCTCAAGCAGGAGACCTGTTCTAGGGATTTGAACTGCCAAACTGCTGACCTTTCTGATTGACAGAAAGTCACCCAGTCATTGGTCCTGAAGTAAATGGTAAAATCTGGCTTACCCAGTGTATGTTTAACCAAAGAAACTTTTCCCCCCAAAATGGTAGCCATCACTCCATCTTACTTAACTTCCTACAATTGTTTATGTTGTATGTTTAGCTCTCGAGATTACCCAGTAAGAGCTGTGATATTAGAGTAGACTGATGCATTTCAGGTTTTCTGCACTCAAATAGAACATGGAGCTGCAAGATTGTGTGTAAATTGTAGTTCAAAACTTTGAAAGGACACAGAATCACTCTATACTGGATTAGAAATAAACTGTCTGTGCTTGAGGTTTTAGCAGAATGCCTGATCATGATTCAAGAGTGGTGATGAATTGGAAAAAAATTATCTGAGTGAAAGCTGTTGAATGACATTTCTTTGATACTGCATTTCTCAATCCTCACCTTGAAATCTCTTATTTTCATTGGCAGAATTAGGTGTTTTGCAGATTGTAGAGACAGATGTGTGTAGTTCAGGTTTTGTTGTAGAAAGCAAGTATTTCTGTTGAGAATTAAAAAAAAGGTGAGCAATTAGCTTTGAAAACTAGTATAACTTCTGCAATCTGGTAACTGTGCTGCATATTAAGAAGTTGACTTCATCTTTCTTAAAAATCAGGATTTAACTTTCAAAAGCACCCTAATTTAGTTTTAGTTAATGAAAAATGGTTTTTTGAAAAAGAAACATCTAGCACATTAAATCCTATTTGAAATTCCTGCCTTCTCCACTCAGTTTAGAAAAACAATAAACAAGTCAACTTTCAGTCAATCACGGCTTTATAACATTTTTGTAGAGATAAAATGAAGAGCGATGCTTATGTAACCTGCATTAAGTTCAAAGAGAATAGTGGGAAATAAATCCAACATAAATAGATTTAGTAGAGATAACAGGTGAAAGCTGAGAAAAGCAGCCATCCACATTGATCCAGTATCTTACTATCGTCTTTAAACAATACAGTATAGTGTGAATAGCATACCTATTTCATAACGCCCAGTCAGACAAGCAAGACAAAGTATAGCTATTTTTCAGGATACAGTACTATAAAACCATGCATTAGCTTATTTAATGGGTAAATGTAATTTTTGGGAGCAGTTACAGGTAAACAGGTTTAGTGTGACATGCTATCACATGTGGTCTGTAAGACATTAATGTTGTGCAGACCTATCTTAATTATGTTTTGGGATTGGGAAATGAGATATTAGCTAGTATAAAGAACATTTCTTTAGAGAGTATATGATTTTTGTTTTAATTTCAAAAGTGATAGACAATTTCCCAGAATACAATTTGATTTAATTAAGTGAATATGTTGTTTTTCAATCATCATACTAAAGGGCATATGATGTAATGTGTTGCTTTACAGAGTTTAAAAAACAAAAATTAATATATCCATTGGCTCAGAGAAGATCTCATTTTGAATTTAGGTCTGACTCAGTTATTTGAATATGACCTTTATAGATATCAGTCTGACTTATTTCTAAATAATATCATAGTATATGACAAAGCAGAGCCATAGAAGAGCAGCATTGTGTTATTAGTAAACATTTTTGAAATACAGTGCAAAGAATCTCTTGGCTTGTTCCTAATCCCTTGGAGAAAATCCAAGTCTTCAATCATTTGGGATTAAGCCCGATTGGAACTTTTAAATAAAGAATTAAATATTTTATTAAATATTTTCCCAAATGAACAAAAGAGCTTTACAAAGCAGCTGGTTCACAGATATATTATTAATGTGATTTTAAAACAGTGGAGATATATTGATGAAATTTCTTCTTTCCCCTAATTTTTTCCTCAAAATATTGACATTTAAAGAATATTATTATGCTTAATTTATCCAGAGATCCCATATCCATTTTTCTTTTCTTCAATGTCTTTGATCTCTCCCTGCCCTTCTTCCTATTAAAGCAGCAGTTTAGAAATTTTCTTTTATGAAATCATTGCATTGTACTTGAAAGCATTAGAGTCCCATTACAGAAGCACAATACTATGTAGGATCAGTCTGAACATCAACTGAAATTAATTTTTTTAAAAGACCAAATTTTTTGAGAACACAAAACTCCCATAGATTATTTAGTATAGTGCTTCTGTCTAAAATCTTAGGAGATTTTGGGAGGAAAGCCAGAATTCTAAACAAGAATATTAAAAATCTTGGATACTTGTATTCTCTTAGTGTTTCGGCCATTTTAAGAAAGATACTTACTTCAGCCACCCGCAGTACTCTTGCAAACCATTAGTGGCCTCTGAGCCACATGTTGAGAATTATTGAACTAGATCCTTTGCGTATTAACTTAGACAAAGGTTCTTTTTCAAGAGGCAACTGGACATTCTGTTTTTTTCTTTGAAGTTGTTTCGCTTCTCATTCAAGAAGCTTCTTCAGCTGTAGAAACTCCTTGGATGAGAAGTGAAACAACTTCAAAGGAACCCCCCCCCCCCCGGAAAGTCCAGTTGCCTTTTGAAAAAGCACCTTTGGGACAATCATGACCCGGATGACTGAGAATCTCCATACAATTAAGTTTTTATACAATTTATACTTCCTTCAATGATTTTTGGCAAATGCCTTTCAACTTTGCCTTTTGAGCATTATTGTTAAGTAAGGGTCAGGCACTTCAGCAGTGGGTCCCTTTCCTACAGAGTCTGCTTTTACAAACTCTTGAATATGAAAGGATCACTTCTGCTCCCTTCTGTCTTTGACATTGCATTTCACTGTGGTTCTAAAATAGAGGAAAAGAAATAGTTCATCATGTCTTACCAGCCAGTCTTGGTCCAGAGGCAGGATTCATGAAGGAAGATTGATTGTATCCTGAGTCAAGGGGGAGTTTTCAGATCAAGTTTCTGTGCAAAGGTGCAGGGATTTCCTTACACTCAAACAACATAGGTTTCTATATGGAAAGAAATACAGAAAGAAACAGCCTTAGAACAAGTGAACAACGGAATAGAAGGTAAAGAATTCCTTTAAAACACTATTAACACTCTTGGGCAGGAGAGCGGAGTTGGTTTGAAAAGAAGTTTGATTTTCTTTCTCAACACTAGAGGGCATGTGATTAAATTTCAAAGTTCCCTTACACAGTGCCTGAAGAAGCCAAAATGTGCCCTCGCTGGCATCTCCGCCATATTTCCTCTTGTTAAGTCAGACTATGACATGTAACTTCCCCATTTTTATTTCCCGTCCTAAATATGTTTAAAATAGGATAATATGAGGAATGGGAATTTAATTTTTTTTTGTCTTGAAACATTTACTTGCAGTCATAGATATAGGAATTTAACAGACTTAAGGACAACAACCCCATTCTCTATTCCACCTGCACCTTATAAAAATATGGACCTTAAAGCACTCTTTTTTCTATTTTCCCTTTAAACCAGGGGTGGGCAAATGTGGCCCTTTTACAACCTGTGGACTTCAACTCTGGGAATTCTGGGAATTCTGGGAGTGGAAGTCCACAGGTTGTAAAAGGGCCACATTTGTCCACCCCTGCTTTAGACGATTTTTGCCCTGGTTCTTGCTCAGAATATCTGACTTGACACGCTGGTAAGGGAGGCTCCCAAGAAGCCCATGGATCCATGGTCTTCCATGAGACAAATGATTATTCTAGGTTCATAGCTGAAATTTGAGCAACTATCCATGGAGCTCCACCCTTAACAGCCCATAGCAATTTTGTAAAACTACCTCTTGGTTGTTTGCAATCTTTCCGGACCACCAGGGAAACCAGCTGCGAGATGAAGTAGAGAGAGATGGAAGCAGTTGTGCTTGGCTCATTTATAGAAGATGCTTCGTCACATCTCCCCGCCTAGTTTCTCCTCCCACTCGAGAAGATAATCACATGACTCTTGCTATCTCTCCCTTCCCTCCCAGGCCCAAACCACAGGAAATGTCAAGAGGCCTCTCTTCTCTTAAGTAGAGCAGGAAATTATATCTACCCACCCTGATGTCTCAGAGTTTTGCCTCCACCCCTCCCCATATACCAGGGAACTGTGGTTAAATCTATTTGTGGGGTAGCTCTCAGCTACGTGAAGCTATAAGCAAAGGGAACAGGCCAAAAGGCTCTGGGTGAGACTTGGCCACTTGTATCCTTTGAAAATAGTGTGATCCTGAAGCTACAGCAGCTCTAAGTGAAGTTAGACTTAGCAAAGTATGTTGAAATGGGCGGTGGTCAGGCAGCCCCTCTGAGCCATGCTGTAACCAAATGTAGGATGGTGCAGATATGCCCTGTGGAACTGCGGGGTGGAAGCTTTTCTCCAGTGGAAGACATCTCTTTTTCAAGAGAAGGTTGTGTGGTCCCTTCTCTATACCTACAATTAGTTCTCTATTCTCACCATAGATATATCAGTAACATTTTGGAAGACCTCTGTATGCTAATGATGAAGTTTGACGAACAGTTAGTGGCTTTACAAATCTGTTCCTTATCACTTTGATTTTATCCTTTTTTTTTTGTTTTGCAGTTGAGATATATCCATGGAAATCTTTTTATCCTCCTTCAATAATTTACCTTGCATTAACATATGCCTGTGAATAACCATCTGACCTATACATCTGAATTTGGGCATGGACAAATTGGGCAAAATCCAGGTCCATGTTTGTCTGGAAGCATTTCTTTCCATGTAGGGCCACCACATTGAATTGGATGGTCATTCCAAGGGTGGTCCTGAATTAGGATTGGTGGTATTTGATTTTAGTTCTAGCAGCATACTTAAGCACTGGCCTTGGATTGAGATCAGAGTACCAGAAATTCTGGTACTACAGATTTTAGGGGATACTATTCTGTTGATATAGGGAAACTGTCAGATGCTTATGTACTTGGGCAATCTTTTGTACTATGCTCTTCCTGTCTTTCCTTGCTTCAGATTACTGATAACTTTTGGTGGTATTTTAGGTGCCTTCTTCACAGCTTCTCTTACAATGTCGCATCATTCCTAATGGATCTTGTGTTTTGCTCTATGTTTTCTACCAAGGTTCTTCTGGGAATATTTAGAATTTTGAGAACATGTTATTAGCAGTTTCATCAAATGGCTTCCATGCAGAATGTGGCAAATCACTACATCCATGTTTATTTGAAGGCAACCTGATGAAGCTTTTCCTAACAGATCTTCTAGGTTTCTACTGCTTGAGCTTGCTTTATTATTTTCTGGGCAACTAGGCTCACTCCCAAACAAAGCCTAGCCATTTATTTTCTAAGCATACCTGTGGGAATGTTGAGGAACCCAGAAACATTCTTAAAAATAAAAATAATGGTCAAGGCATAAAAATAATAGAAATAAAATAAAATTAACTAGACCCTGGCCAGATCCAAGAAATATGCCACTGAGCATGTTGCCACTCCAGGGAGTATTTAGTATTTGTCTAGACACATCATGAATCCCTGTAAAAATGTTTTTCTTTCCAGACTCTGTTGACCCCAGATTGCCATTAACATTTTATGACAATTTTGCAACAGGCAGATGTCAGAGGTAGATGAACAATCTTTTGAGTATCTTGTTTACCACTGCTAATTAATTGAAAGAGTCTGAAGGAATCTAGGTAGAAACAGCAGGCTAAGGATTGAGAGCAAACTAAGGACGTTCATATTTTTATCCCTGAAAATTGAAATGTAAATAGGCACCAGAATTAAAAAATTACCATATATTTCCCAGGGTTTTTTTTTAGTTGGAAGCTAACTAATTCATCATGGAGACATAACATTAATACATACTGGGTGTGCAGTTTGTATTATTTTATTTCCCTTTCAACTATCTCTTAAAATAGAACTCCAAAGAGTATAATTCAAGAGCTGCAGCCAACATCATCCATCTGATCCTCAGATCCTTTAAAAGGTGGGGATTTTTCCTTTTGAGTTTCTCAAAGTTTTTAAAAGGCAATATGGATCCTGGAGCCCCTCAGACTTTAAAATGCTCAAAGCTTGATATAGTCCTGAAACTGGTAAAAATTGAACACCTCTGCCATAAGGTGATAAGGTCTTACTAGAGGGCTCCTGACAAAAGAGGTGAAATTTACCACTCCCTAATAATCTCTTGGGTGTTATAATAGCTCAGGTTTTTTTGCACCACATAGAATTTGTTACATTTTCCATGAAGTATAAAAGATGGACAGTCTGTAACAGAAAAAGATTTTAGAAAGGTATTGCCTTAGAATGTTGAAGACAAGCAGTGGCAGAAAGATATAAAAATAATAGCTGAGGATAGCTGAGAAGGAGTAAAACTGATGATCTGGTGCAACTTACATTTTTTTTTATTCTGAGAAAAAGTCTACACAAATGGTTGGCTTTTTCTGTTGGCCAAAAGTTTGTATGACCTTTATACAGCTATGTTGTCCATCCAGGAGTGTTCAGAGATCTGGGGACTGATTTAGATGGGATCACATGTTCTGTTTTGTGTCAAAAAGTAAGAACCTCCTGAACTCTATGAAGAAATTCTGGATCTGCCTTCCTACTAATATCATTGTCTTACCAATTAAAATTCCAGCAGCACTTCCCACCCCCACACATATGATACATACTATATATCACTGTTTCTCACCTAGAAAAGATAACCACTCAGATTTCCATTCCTACTCCTCTTAGAGGGACACTCTACCATATTCTTTTGTTTTGTTAATGGCCTTACTTTGGCCACAAAAACATTAGAACGCATGCTTTGGAGTTACTTTTATCAAAATTGGAATCCCTACAGATTAAACTTTTTAATACCTTAGTTTGGGTAAGGGGATAAACTTTTCTATCACTACATAGCTGTACACAGTGTCAAGTAATTGGAAATTGGCTGATCTGCATCTTTCGATCCTTGCAGAAATGGGCCAATTACCTGACATACCACAAACCAGCATCTTGATTTGCAATGATTTTTCAAATTTCTTTAAATCTCTTGGATTCTATACAGTGCTATAGTTCATAATTAATGCCAGTTTCTAGAGATAGGTTATGTCAGATTCAAAGGATTTATAGACATTATGTAGGACCCCTTTTCTAGAATACCAGCATGAAGATTATTTTGGAAAGTATTCTTGTTTCAATGAAAGGGGCAGAAATAGTTATGGTGACTCTAGGCTTTTTTTTTTTTGCCTAAACAGTTTGATCCAAAAAAACATTTGGAGAAAAGATGGTCATTAAACTACATAAAAGCAGATTTTGAGATAGTCTATGGATTTGAGGGGTAGGCTAGTTTCTATTCTCATGGAAATTGACGCAAGTAACTTCCTTTCTCTGAAAGACATTTTTTTAATACAGTAGTGAATTTATTTACATTTATTATAAATACAATTACTATCATTAACCCTTTACATTTTAAAAAGTCTTTAAAAATTAAAAGATAAATGGGGCAGAGACCCTATTGGATACCTATTGGTTTTAGATGATCCATCAAATTAACTTCTGTTCTCACTCATAATATTGGTTAAGCATAGTGTGTGAGGGACTGACTCCTAAAACAGATGTCTGTGTATATTATTAAGGGCTATTTCAGATATTATATTTATATGTTGCATTTTTACCTTCATATCAATCCTGTGTTTTGAGCATGTGTATAATTGGTTTGTGCCCCATGAATTTCATAGCTAAATATGCCATTAAACCCCAATTCTTCTCATCCCCATGCCAAAAACTTCCTCTTATAAATGTGAAGAAAGAGTTAAATTCTTGCTTTGTTTCCAAATTCATGAAATCATGTCACACAATTCCAAGTTCTCATTTCTTGTGTGTTTTGTAGAGGAAGTGTTCCCTCTGTTGTAAATACAGGCACCAGGGAGGGCCTGAACAAAGTAGACTAATATTCACATATATCTGTAATTCAGGAATTAATCTCCCACATAGAATAGAATAACAGAGTTGGAAGGACCTTGGAGGTCTTCTAGTCCAACCCCCTGCTTAGGCAGGAAACCCTATACCATTTCAGACAAATGGTTATCCAATCTCTTCTTAAAAACTTCCAGTGTTGGACCATTTACAAGTTCTGGAGACAAGTTGTTTCACTGATTAATTGTTCTAACTGTCAGGAAATTTCTCCTTAGTTCTACGTTGCTTCTCTCCTTGATCAGTTTCCACCCATTGCTTCTTGTCCTGCCTTCAGGTGCTTTGGAGAATAGCTTGACACCCTCTTCTTTGTGGCAGCCCCTGAGATAGTGGAACACTGTATCAGGTCACCTCTAGTCCTTCTTTTCATTAAACTAGACATACCCAGTTCCTGCAACTGTTCTTCATATATTTTAGCCTCCAGTCCCCTAATCATATTTGTTGCTCTTCTCTGTACTCTTTCTAGAGTCTTAACATTTTTTTTACATCGTGGTGACCAAAACTGGATGCCGTATTCCAAGCATGGTCTTACCAAGGCATTAGAAAGTGGAATTAATATTTCATGTGATCTTGATTTTATCTCTCTATTTATGCAGCCTAGAACTGTGTTGGCTTTTTTGGCAGCTGCAGCACACTGCTAGCTCATATTTAAATGATTGTCCACAAGGACTCCAAGATCCCTCTCACAGAATATATTCATACTATTTTTTAACCCATTTTATGGGTGTGAACAGAAGTTAAATTGTACTAGGGATGAATCCCCTAAACCCAGGATAACCAACAGGCCTTCTGCCTCATTGGAGTTTTTTTTTTTTTTTGTATTAAATATATTAAAACAAGAAGGTAGCTTAGGAAAAGTGTGGATGATACTAGATTGTCCAAGCTTTTCAGTCTTTATTTTGCTGCTTTGGTGAAACCAGTGTATTGTTCAAAGTTCTCCCAGTTAGCTATATTAAGGTACAACTCCCCTTATCCCAGACCAGTGCAGATGCCCATATTGGCTGAGAGCATGAGGGA